AATGCTAAGGTAAACAATATGGTCCATATCGCAATTTCTGCTATTCGAACTAAATATTTTCTTAATCAGAATTGAGACTGTATCAGTCCAGTGTTTCATGCGTCGAATAACCGTGATGCATGATAATGATAACAAATTTATTTGTCGACTATAGCTTCGCACAACTTGAAAAGCTTCAAAGTGTCATCTGATTTCGAGAGTTTAAGTGACCTCAAAAAACAACGTCTACTCTTGGCGACAGATGATTATTTTTTAATTAATTGCGTTTAACTTCTAGTTCTGCATGGAATTATAATTGAGCTGGAGTCTAGGTCAATAGATCTGAAAAATGAATGCATAACAGAAATACAGCTGAATTTTTATGCAACCCAACTCGATATAATCTAGTAAATCAAGATAATTGGCAAGTATTTTTGTATCAGCATCTATGATATTTTCTATTTTTCAGTTGGCATGGTTCCTTTTTGACGATGAGCTTTTCTAATGTCATGAAACAACAGTAATGGACTTAGAACTCGTTTGAAAGCATAAATCTTTATATAGAAAAGATTATATTTGTCGTCAAATTGTGTATATTTTGATATAATATTTATTAAAAGAGTTCTCGCTTTCATCATCTGCATTCAGAAGAACAATATGGATCATCAAAGCTGCGATGAAAACAACAAGAAAAATCGTTATATCATATTGTGCAATTCTTTTAGGTATGTATTTCCGTCAGCGTGAGGAACAAGTGACGAGTCCTCCAGATCAGCCCGAAAAAAGTTCCCTGTTAGCAGCTCTGGTATACATCAAATAACTGACCATGCATTTCTGCATAGCTCATGATCTGCAACACTTTTATATAAAATTTATTACGTGTAGGCTGTTTATTTGCAATACAAAGAAAAGCACGCTCTTCTTTTGAACAGATATTCCTTGAAATGCTGATAGACGATGGAGAAAATGTATTTTACAATTATTTATCTCATATCATCGTCTAGATCTGTTAGCTATTTTGAGTGTATATAGCTCTGAAGTAGTCAATGCATTCAACACAAAAAAAAACCAAACTGACCATTATCTAACCATGGAAAGTTGTACTAAGAACTAATTTTTGTCTTCTTCAAAAAGTCAAGAAGTGCATAGAAATGCAGAACTGACAGACATTTTCATGCTTTTTTGGTGAAAGTGCTATCGTCATGTATGCTATGAAACAATTATGTAACTATGTGATATAGAACTAGGTAATTTCAAGTGCGGCATGAAAATTAGAATCGACTATTGTGACGTAAGAAACACATCATCAGGTTATCGTTCTAGAGATGATAAAATTACAAGTTTGTCGAATAGGTTTGATGGAGAGTCAAGCTCCGATGCTAACCCCACTCTAACAATAGAAATAAGATTCTACTGGTACACATCAAATTATACTCAAAATTTCAATGAATTCAAATTAATTTTTAAAACTCACGCAACATCTATAGTCATGGTATTAGCAAGTGAGTCGGCTTGCGCATCACGTAATTGACGGATGTAATCGTTCGTTGAATATTTTTCGAATTCGGACCATGCGTAATCGACACTTCTATCAACTGGAATCATCTCTGAAAAATATACGATAAGATAAGAATGTGTACGTCCAATTGAAATGTTCCTATTTTCTAATTGTCGATCTCCCGAAACTAAACTTTGTAGAATTACTTACTGAAATATTGCGACTCTTCATGATCAGTTGTTCGGTCGTCACAATATCTGCTGTTATAAATGCGCCAAAGCCATTTGCAAAATTGTACGAAAGAAATGAAAAATGTAAATGGAGGAAACAGTGATGGTCGGGCGTAATAATTACGAATGATGTCACAACGCTCGTAGGCCCAAACATAACGTGCTTGTGTTTGAATATCGGTTATTGTAAGACTGAAACATGATTCTTTTTCTTTACAATATTGTTTTCACGACATAGCTGGATTGTACATACCCGAACAACGCAATTAATAGGTTGAGCAGTAGTATATTGACAAAAAGCATATGAAAAGCGAACATGACATGAGTAGCAGTGTTAGTATTAGCATCTGGTTTCTCTACAGGAAAAAAAAATAAACGAATATAGAAATAATTAAATATTGGCTAGTTTTCTTGATTCGACATTCTTACCATCCAACCTCTTAAGCTCGTCATCAAAACTGCCTAGAACAAAGTAGTAAACAGGATAGATCACATTGCGAAAAAATTGTCGTCCAGTGGATCCAATAGTGTCATATGATATCATGGACCTTGATGTTATACCGTAGCCAAAAATGAAAATAACGATGATGATTATAAATAGTAGAAGATCGTTAGTCTAAAAGGATAGGGATATGGTAGGAACCAATGCTCATTCAAAAGACTTACTAATTTTCGAATCATAACCAACTTTGGACCCAGGTTCGGTGCAATGCCAATAAACACAACTGAGAGAATAAACCATAACTCTAAGTCGATAGCCATTACGATTCTATAAAAAGCATTAGAGTGACAAAGGCTAGAATGTTAAAACAACTGTACAATATACCTGGCACGTGCAAATTTTTCGGTATCGTTCTGCGTGAAACGAAGTATAAGTCCGATATAGAAAAGAATATATGCTGGTAGCATCAAGCATAAATTGGATATACGATTATTCAGATCGAAATAGGTGCGTAGCTTGCCCGTAAATGATTGATGATCTTGAGTCACAAACTAATAACCAAACAACTTAGAGGTGTTAGAGTTGTACTGAAATATAATTTACTAACTTGTCGAACTTCTTCAATGAGCATGGTAGTCACAATAATGATAGTTAATATTTCCGTCCAATGAATGATAGGTGTACTATCAGATGGCGGATCGAATGCATACAACATATAATAACTGAAGAAGAGCAGGAAGAGGATATATCCAAACTATAATGGTCGTTATACAGCTAATTATAGTAAAAGGCAATAGTATGATACTGAACTTACACAAGAATAACAATATTTTACAATGGGTCGATTGTGGAAATGAAAAAACTGCTGGAGTACCCCCGCCTTGGTTCCATAATCATCCGTGTAATTGATGCCGCATTTTTTCAATCTAAGTTATCTTTGATGGCACTTCGATAAATTCTAATAACTACTTACCGTTCTTTTGCATTCGTCTTAGTTTTCTCCTACTCATGTAAACAAAGATTAAAATTGTTATATTACATACTGGTCTGAGCTTACGTCTTTGGCTTGTGTTGTTTTAGACGATCTAGGAAATCGTTTTTCATAGTTGGATGCAAAAAGTTGCCAGATTCCAAGTGTAATTATATTCAGAATGAGACTAGTTCGTTCTCTAACTGGGTCAACTTTATCAAACCATATGTTTGTTAAGAGAGCTTGGCAAGCGTCTTCATGTATGAATTTCTTGTTATTTGCGGTGATTGCCATCTGAAGACACGTAGTGCCTCCATAGACATCTATGCGCCTCATAATCAATTCACATGTTTTTTGCTTATCGTACAAGTAAGAACACCGTACGAACTCAATGGCATGAGTTTCGAAATCATCGGCTCTTGAGTACAAAGTCACTTTTGTTGCTTGATCTGGAGCGTAGCCTGCTAGAGATTTGAGAATTTTAGAAGCTATCAATGCTGAACAGATACGAGTTTTCATTTGACTAAGAAAGATTTTTGCCATATCAAGTCGATAGGTTAACACACACCAAAGAAAGATGTCACGATAAATGTACTCAGCATCCACTTTGTTTATATTAGCATCCTCCTCTGATTCTGGCGATATTAAGCCATGTTTTGATTGATCTACATAAATTGGAGACATGAAATCACCTACGAGCTTCTTCAAAACAGTAGCCAAGTCGTTTTCTGCACTAAAATTAGGATTCTTGATGACATATTCCAACAGATATAATGGATCTCGCTGTATAAAATTCAAATGTTTCGAAATACTGAAATTCAATAGTAGAAAACATTGTCTTACATTTTCGCGGTTTCTCTTTAAGTATAACTTTTGCAAATAATCGAATTTGTCAAAACCACGAGTATCTAACGATTGTTTAGACTTGGAAGCAAACAAAACAGTGATATCGATGTCGAGTTTGATGAAATTAAGGATGAAGACAAGCAAATTTTTGCTAAGTGCATTGATGAGTAGCAATTGATTTTGCTCTATCTACAATGAAATAGACATGCAGGCAGATCAAAGTATTAAAATAAAAGCCTACTGGAATAGTATCAAACCAGGTCCTTGAAGCGATTAGTGATTGGTTTTCGGCAAGATCAGCAATGCCCCAGTGCAGTGCCTGATGTACTTGATTATCGATGTTCGCTTGATAAATTGTTCTTGCGGGTGAAAGATTATCTTTCGCTAGTAGGCAAAAATATATCGTACAATTCTTTGTCGTGATATTCGACACATACTTCTGATTAAAAGTATCTTGCGTGTTTTTGGAAGAAAAAATGCTTTATTCGAAATGTTTTTTTTTCAAATAGCGGTCTGTAATGTATGATACGAGAACTTGTAAAGTAGCTCAGAATTTTGTATGATACAGCAGACTATATGGATCTCTTGTTATAACTCATTTATTTTATTATTCATAAGTATAAAATATAACACAAAAGCTCACATTTACTTACACAGTAATATTTCATAGAGACCTATAAAAAGTAGACCTACAATATCTGCTTACCTTGAACAAAACTCTCGTAAATTATTTCTTTGAAGGACTTCGATGTCTTTATGTTGAAAATATGAATTTTTTTTCGATAATTTCTTCCCAGACAGCGTGCCGCGTTATTTAAACAGTTCGCAAAAGATTGTTCTTCAGCTATAGTCAAGACTTCACCCGCTGGTAAGTTGTTGACTTGAGCTTCATAATCTTGTTGTCGAATAATTTTGTACAGATTTCGCACATCATGGGCAAAATCAAAACGATTTTTGCGGAGCGATCGCAAACTTTTTCGTAGCCTATATAAACCAATACTGTAGTTGCTTCATAATAGAATACAACTGGAAAACTTACTTGCTTCTTATCGATGACTCTGGATTTTCCATCTCTTCTAGCCAAAATGGCTGATCATATTTTGATGTATGGGTACTATCTTCATCTTCACCAGTAGAGTCCTCACCTTCGCCAATAGAATCTTCATCTTCACCAGTAGAGTCCTCACCTTCGCCAATAGAATCTTCATCTTCACCACTAGAATATTTGTTGTCGCTACTAGAATGTTTCTCGTCACCATCAGTCTTCTTCTCATCGGTTTTTGATGAGCGATAATAACCTTCAAATAAAACACGCAGAGTTCTCATTTTAAAAAAATCTGATTTCAGTCAAAAAAATATTTGTCGGCATTCTAGTTATCATTATCTACACCCATTATTATATTATCTGATACATCATTCACACATTTAACCTATCGAAAATTATAAAGCCTTTATCTGGATCTACCAGACGAAGCAGAGAACTACTGTGTATGAGTCAGCTTACATAATATAACTATCTTTATCATGGAAGTTAGCTTCTTTCTATGCCATAGCAAAGAATAAAATCCATGGCCTCCTATGGGAAAAGTCGTTTCGTGGCTCTGTACAAAGGAGTTCGTAACTTATGTTACACAAGCTATTTTTATCCGTGAAACATCTAAAGGATCCGCAACTTCAAAATGAAAATAAATAAATCTTCTCATAGGAGAAAATTCGACATTCAGTATGAAGTCCATTAGGTATTTACACTGATAGCATTGTCATTATCTAGAAACACACTGTTCGTTTTATGCTGACTAATGGAGAAATTTTTACCAAATCAAATATCATTAAAATCTTCTGAGAAAGGAAAAACAAAACTGATGCATTAAGTGACTATGGAGTCTAAACTCATTCTACGTTTTTCTTGCCATCAACGGTTTGAGTACCGTCTGAAGCATCGACAAAAACGCCTTTAATTGAAAGTATGTGCCGCAGTAACCCGATTTCTTCACATGTTTAAATTTGATAGTAATAATATTGTCGCTGAAATTTTCTTTTTTTCAAACACCAGTTATGTACATGTCTAAACTAAGTTTACATTCAAGGAAGAACAGCGTGTGAAATCGTCGTGACTCGTTTTGTGTCATCACAAATTCTAGAAATAAGTTCTCGTTTTTGTTTTAGATAGCGATGACTAAAAAAGATAGGATGTTGGTGCCAGTGATTAAAAGCATCTTGGTTGAATTTCGAAAAGTATTTTCTAAGTCTCTAAGTTATAAATTGGCAAGTAACGCTCGTCTACGTGATTCGCTTAACCCTCGAGTGAATATTCAGCTGTTTCGGTATTGTATACTGCTTCGCAGTCCTCAACACAGCCAGTATCAAAGTATGAAAAGGGTGCGTGTGAATGCGAATATTAACATCCGCAGCAATGTCCTGGTGTACAATGATGTCGTGCGTCTGTAATACGTTTTCTTACAAGTAACGTTCGTCGGTTCGACTCACTTGACCCTCGACTGTATAAGACAGAAGTATATTCCGCATGTGGGTATTGAAAGAATTGATCTATCAGTTTAACAGAATAACTGACTCAGATTTCGATTTCTTGAATCGTGAAAGTCGAAGTAACTGAGTGGGCTTTTTATAAAATAGTTCAGGATAAACCTTACTTTTCAGTAAGAGATTGTAAAAAGTAGCAATTCTTTATCCAAGTACACTTTAGCTAATAAGTATCGGAAGCGAAAAAAATGTTATACTGTTACACACTAATGTCCATTTAAAAAAAAGGCGGGTGGGTATTTTTTGAATAACTTTTGATAGGAACAAGATAGAGAGCTGCGGCTTTCACTGTTGGAAAGCAACTTATCTAGCGCATCGATTCATATAAAACTGCTGAGATTTATTTCATAAATCAGTAGTGATCCATGGTCATCTTGAAAGAGAACACTGTTGCTCTATGAAGATAGAACAAATCTTAAAGTTTGAGGTGTAGATTAGAATCGCCAGATGACACGGTACAAAACTATATATAAGACTTGATTCAAAGCTTTACTGCTTTCGGAGTTCTAAGTATTATATTCGCCAATTCTAGTTCACTTTACTAGCAATTTCTGTAAAAAAACTCAGTTTTTTTAGGTTTTTTCGTGTTTTCCTGGAAAAATCTGACCTATTTTTAAGGCATTTCTTTGTTCAACTATTGCACAATAGTTCAAAAGTTCAAGATAAAAGTCATTGTCTTATATGATTCGATGCGTTTTCATCTGCTCTTTCCAACAGTGAAAACCGCAGCTTTCTATCATGTTCCTATCAAAAGTTATTCAAAAAATACCCACCCGTCTTTTTTCTTTGAAATGGACATTAGTAACATGATGAAATAAGCTGATTTTAGTTAGTAATATGTGCTCATACAGTAATTAAGAAACTTGATACTAAAAGTCTTATGTTTACGAGCAACATACGATTATTAATGACTAGCGAGAATTCGTGCATACTGCACGGCAGTTTCCTCCTTTAACGTATGGCCTTAGACGTTTAACTTTTCATCCGGTAACAGACATACAGAGACCCGATATTATGTATATAGATAGATAGCCTTCCGGCCTGATACTCTTATATCGCACATATTTTTATAGTCCGAGTAGCCTTCTGCCTTATAGCCTTATATTCCTTGTAGCTCTTGTAGCCTTATCTCCTCATTGGTTTACCCCTTATTACCTACCTCCTTACTGCCTTACTTCCCTGAGGGCCTATGGCTACCCCATATAATAGTCTTTAAGGACTTATCGATACCTCGTATGATAACCCTTAATGACGTAGGAATACCCCATATAATAGCCCTTGAGGACCTATGCGTACCCCCTTAGGATAGCCTTTAAGGACCTCTGGATATCCTCATAAGATAGCCCTTGACGGCCTATGGGTACTCCCATATAATAGCCCTTGAGGACCTATGCCTACCTACATAGGATATCCCTTAAGGACCTATGGCTACCTCGTATAATAGTCCTTGAGGTGCTATGGGTACCCCAATATAGTAGTCCTTGGCACCTTCTCCTTATAGCCTTATTCGACCTTTAACCTTTGACCTAGCACAGACACACAGACAGACATACAATGGGCATTATATATATATAGATTCATTGGTAATAATGAAAATGTGAGGGAATAGGAAAGCATAAATAACTACTCAACATCTTTTTATTATGTGATAAAAGAAAGAAAAACTACAGCACAAGAAGGGCGCTAGTAGTCTCGAGCCGCCACTCTTTGGACCCATATCTACAACTCTGCGCCCTAAGTACCTGGTTTTTCTGCATTCAGAAGCATGATCTGTTGACAGCCAGATAGCGAAAACCTATGATTGACTCAATACTGAATACCAAAAGCCTGTGGTCTGCTGAGTTTGAAAGACACAGAAATTTCATGGGCCGATTTCGTTCAATTAACTAGAGTGTGAACAAACATATCAACATCTGAAGACGGACCATTTCGATACTAAGGATCTTGTTTCAAGCTACATGGATAGTAAATTCAAGCATCAGTTTTCTCAATATCTTTAGTGAAACTTTCTTCCCAAACTCAATTTTTATTGGTTCTTGGGTCACCGATACGGTTTTGAAGAAAATCGGGCACAGAATCGAACTTCGCCTCTTGAATCACTTATAGACAGCGATTTTTCGAAAAACTCGATTTCTATTGGTTCTCGATCGAACGATAGAGTTTCGAGAATAACGGAGCTCATGCTCGAACTCCCCGCAACAAATTACCTTGAGGGAGCAATTTTTCAAAAAACTCGATTTCTATTGGTTCCTGCTCGATCAATAGAGTTTCGAGAAAACGGACATAATATTCGAACTTCCCACCAGAGATGTCCATCGCGGCGCTATAATCAACG